TAGTGGGACCATCACCTCTTAAGCTGGACACAGTTTAGTTCTTACTGAGATTTAGGCTCTTGTATATGTGGGGCGAGAGAGGAAGGTGGAGGTGACAGGGAAATAAGTAAGGTGGCCACATCTTTCTCACACAGATCAAGCTTAATATCACCTATTACCCATAAATCTTTGTGACCCATAAATCTGCTAAGCTACACAGGCCACTTTCTAGAATTGTGTAGTCATTTATTTGCATCTAAGTGATCAAGACTCACTAGAAAACTTGTATTCAGAATTCTCTTTTAAGACAGCAGGAAGGGGGCTGGCGTTGTGGCATAGCAGGTAAAGCTGCTGCCCATAGTACCGGCATCCCATATGGACACCAGTTCAAGTCCCTGCTGCTCCACTTCCGATCCAGCTCTCTGCTATGGCCTGGGAAAGCAGTAGAAGATGGCCCAAGTCCTTGGGACCCTGCACCCACGTGGGAGACCTGGAAGAAGCTCCTGGCTTTGGACCAGAACAGCTCCAGCTGTTGCAGCCAATTGTGAACCAGTGGATGGAAGATGTCTGTCTCTCTCTCTACCTCTACCTCTACCTCTCCTTCTCTCTCTCTCTGCAACTCCGACTTTCAAATAAATAAATCTAAAAACCAAGACAGCAGGAAGGAATACTGTACTCTTCAGGATAATTTTCACAAACCATTAAAATGCTTTCTCTAACTCCTATCACCTTTGCTTCTTCTCATCTTTGAAAGCTACCAAGCCCAAATGGTTAGGCTTCTTAGGAAATACATGATATATGCTCTCCAGAGTAACTAAAATATAAAAAATGATATAAATCATTGGTAAGAACACAGAGCAACTAGTGGGAGTGGAAATTGACATGATCACTTCGGAAAACTATTGGCAGTACCAACTAAAGCTGAATAGAAATCCACCCTATCTTCAGCAATCCACTTAGACACTCAACAGAAATCAATATATATGTTCAAAAAAAGACATGCCTGAGATTGTTCAGAGCAGTTTTATCTATCATAGCCCCAAACTGGAAACAATGCAAATGCTAATGATTCAGACAAAAAGTTGTATTACATTCACTCAATGGAACACTACATGGAAATAAAAAGGATGAACTGATATGTACCTCATGCCTTCATCTCATGGATATTATTTTAAAGGAAAGAGAAGAGAAGCAAAGGAGCACAAGCCATACGATTCTATTTACTTTAAGGTCAACGACAGAAATCACAAGAGTTATCTGGCAGGAGTCCCAAAGGACCACTTTCGGGGTCACAAACACAGGTGATCATATGCGTACATATTTATCTAGCTGTATATTAAGTGCACAGGTATGCTATACCTCAATCTACATATTAAAACAGATCCCCAAAAAGGCACTGTGTACTGAATGAAGGTCCTAAAGAAAATCTTTGTAGTAAGAGGATGTTTTGCCCAAAAGTTGGCAGCATTTTTCTGACTCTAAGTTGAAGAATGTTAAAGAGTTCCCTCATCTGACACCGAGTCTGAGCTCCAGATACAAGGGTACATTAAAAAGTTCATGGAAGATAGATTTAAAAGTTAATTTTGGAAGCAAAAATTTCTGAAAGCCAAGGATTTGAGAGGTTTTCAAAAAGTTCATGGAAATGTGCATTATGAAAAAACTAGGCATGAATTTCAAAACATTTACACCAAAATAAACTTAGCTTTTAATTCCATTTTCCATGTACTTTTGGAAGTACCCTCAAATGTTGTGATGACTGAAATACACGGAATTAAATTTCTGTGAATTGCATGATACACTCAAAAGTAGGAATAAAATGAACACCTGTAACTCAAAAAATAATTTATGAAAAACCTACTGCTGACATCACATTTAATGATAACAGACTGGCTGCTTTCCTCTTAAGATTAGGAATGAAATAAGGCTGTTGACTCTCACCTTTTATATTCCAGATTATACTAGCCAGGATAATTAGGCGAGGAAAAGAAATAAAGGCATCTAGGTTGAGCAGTAAGAACTCAAACTTTATCTACAATGACAAAATCTTATGTACAGAAAATCTGAATGAATTCTTAACTGTTGGAATTAATAAATGAGTTCAGCGAGGTTGCAGCCTACAAAATCAATATACAAAAAGAGATGTATTTCTACAGTTTAGCAATGAATAATCCAAAAGGGAAATTAAGAAAACAATTCCATTTACAATAGACTTAAGAGAATAAACTGGGTATAGATTTAACAAAAGAAGCGCATGACTCATACTGAAAATACATAACACTTCAAAGACGTTAAAAAGGCAACCTAAGGGGCTGGCGCGGTGGTGATGCAGGTAAAGCCACCACCTATGCCACCAGCATCCCACGTGAGCACCAGTTTGTGTCCTGGCTGCTTCACTTCCAATCCAGCTCCCTACTAATGCGCCTGGGAAAAGCACTGGAAGCCCAGGTGCCTGGGCCTCTGCCACCCACATGGGAGACCCAGATGAAGCTCTTGGCTTCAGCCTGTGGCCACTTGGGGAGTGAATGAATGGACAGAAGATCTTTCATCTCTCTGTGTAATTCTTTCAAATAACTAGCTAACTAGCTAGCTAAGACAGACAGACAAAGACATAAAGAAACAACGAAAGAGAAAACCTAAAGGCACACTGTGTTCATGGACTGGAGATAACATGGTTAACATGGCTATGCTTTCCAAATTAATCTACATACCCAGTATACCTCGGACCAAAATCCTACTTGCCTTCATCTGAAGAAATTAACAGGCTGATACTGACTTTTTAAACAAAGTTTTTTTAAATTTATTTGCAAGCCAGAATGACAGATGGAGTGGAAGAGACAGAAGGATATCTTCCATGCACTGGACTGGTCTCCCACACGGATGGTAAGGGCCTGGATCCTCACTGCCTTCCCGCGTACATTAGGATCAGAGGAGAGCAGCTGAACTCGAATCAGAGTTCCAACGTGGGATGCTGGCATCACAGGCAGCAGCTTAACCTGCTGCACCAAAACACCAGCCCTGCTGATACTGAAATTCACGCAGAGATGTGAGCATCCACGATAAGCAAAACAATCTTGAAAAACAAGACCAGGAACAGTCTGGCCTAGCTTGTGTCCCACGTCAGAGTGCTTGGGTTTGACTGCCACCTCGGGCTCTTGACTTCAGCTTCCGGCCAACGCAGACCCTGGGAGGCAGTGGTGATGGCAGCATTACCTATATCGCATGTTCAGCTTCTGGCACCAGGAGGACCCACACTGCCCGATACTACAACTAATTATAAAGCTACAGTAATTGCCAAAGTCTTGTATGTGCATGGCAGACAAACAGATCAATGGAATAGAACTGACAGTCCAGAAATGAACTCTTCATCGTTAACTGATTCTCTAAAAGAGTGCTGAGACTGGCCAATGGGGAAAGAATAGTCTTTTTTTTTTTAAGAGACACATAAGAGGAAACATTCTCCTCTTTTGTACTGTCATTTCATTAGTATTATTTTGTTTCGTTAAGTCTATATATCATATAAAAGGTGTTTGGATGAAAAAACCCAAGCACTTGGCCTTCATGTCTATAGACCTCTCAGTAAGTTACTAATCTTGCACTTCAGATATCACGTTAAGATATCTAGCTTGAAACAAAAGTTGGCATGCTAAAAGGTTATGCTGTAGTTTGTTGGTGGGCCAGACAATGACAGATTTTCTAAATCTTACCCTTAAATACTGGTGTTAACAAATGCAGATATAGTAAAATGCAACCTTTTATCAGATAGCTAGAGGAAACTTGAGCGAGTGAATGCAACTTACCTCTAAGTCCTTTGCAAGGAGGTGAAAAAATAAATGCTGTGTTCTATCAGTGCTCCCCACACAGCATTATTCTAAGCATGCAGGCTGGTGTTGTGAGCAGCTACAATAGTAAGATCCAACTCAGAGGCAGGTTGAAGGCCAAGAGCAGGGGAGTGGTTAAGAATTTCTCCAGGGACCAGTACCACTTCATAGGAGTGCCCATTTGGTGCTGGGGGATGAGTCTATGGCCTATTTTCTCCTGACTTAAAAGGACAGTCCCAATTTCAACCTTGCTGAAAAAGCGGCATTTTTACACCTGCTCTTAGGAACAGCCAGGACACGAGATAAGGCTGGCATAACATTACTTAGCAAGCACATGCTAGTGATTCCAGTTTGAAAACTACCAAACTGTAAAATCCAAGAGAAATGAAAGCTGAAGATGGAGCCGTTGTTTCTCAAGTTGAGGGAACAAAATCTTACAGAAGGTCTTAGGCACTCACTTAACTCTATATGGAGAGCACCCTTAAGCTAGGTGAAAGATGAGCAAGACACTACCATAGAGTTAACCAGGCCATTTGAAGATTAAAAGGAGAGGAAAAAAGACATTAAGGAAGAAAGCTAGTACAAGAAATTTTTCTGACTAGGTAAGTGAATCTAAGGCAACCATACCAAAGATATGCTACCTGTTACGCTAGCATGAAGCTGGTAGCGAAATATCTCAAGACATTTTAAACCCAAAGATGTATATAAAAATATGACAGTTACACAAACAAGTTAAAACCAAACCTCCCAAATCTCTTCAGATCTGAAATCCAAGATACTTTCATTAATTCTGTGCATTCATTATTGGGGGGAAATGGGGGGGGCAAATGTAAAGATTCGTTTTATTTCTACTAGGGGAAGAAGGTAGATAAATAGAACTATTTTCCAAACTGCTCTCTACTATACACAAACATGGCCACATGCATACATACACCAAAAACATCCCAACAACAACAAAATCAAACCCAAAACACCCTTAAACTCCACCAGTACTTCATATTTTGACCAAAAGAAAATATCCTGGGAGGAAATGCAAAATGCAAAATCCAATGACCGAACAATGCTGAACATTATTGATATACAAAATATTTATATTACTGACCTACTAACAGGTGACATTCTCTGTGTCTGTAAAACTTTGGAACCATATAGCTGATCTGTTAAACCTAGTCTATGCTAGCTTTCAAAAACCAAAAAATGAATTTAGTTAGCTTCATTCTTTGATGCTTCATCAAAATTAGCTACAAGATCTGGAACATCATCATCTTCCTCATCCCTGTCTTCTGGTTTCGGTGCTTTGCCATCCAACACTTGCCGCGGGAACTGTTCAGCTGACTTCCTAAGGCTTGTTAAGCTGTCAGCACCAAGCTGACTTAAAATTCCGGGAAGCATTTCTGTGACCGGCTTGGCTTCTGCATGACCAGTAATTGTAAAGGTGTTAGCTGAGAGGGAAGCTTGGACTTTGGGATTGTTGAAATGAGTAACTGTCCCATCATCTTTAATCATGGCCACCTCTTCAACCCCAGGTACAGTATTCACAGCCAGTGTTTTGAGAGCACTCTGATCTCTGAAGCTTTTTGTCATCAGCTGTAGCTGTTCTATGCACTACCTTCTTCTTTCTGTGAGCTGTACCCTGAAGCAAGGAGAGTGCTTGAACACCAGCACATGGCAAGAGCCAACAATAGTTTTTTTAACAAATGGTGCCAGGACAACCATGAAACCACATGGAAAAGAATGAAACTAGACCCCGTACATCACACCACCTGAAAAATTAGTTCCCAGTGGATCAGAGGTCTAAATATAAGTGTTAAAACTATAAAGGCCACTAAAGACAACAGAAAAAACCACAGAGCATCTTGTGTTAGGTAAAGCCTACTTAGTGCTACAGTTTAAACATAACTTGACTCCCCAACTCATGCAGGCAGTTCCAGTCCAAAGTCACGGACTGATGGTACTAACAGGGTGGAGGCTTGATCCAATTATGGTATACGGGAGGTGGCCCTAGCAGGAAGTCCTCAGGTCCTTAGTGGGGAATCTCACTAGAGGGCTGGTTATTTAAGCCTGGGCCAGGCCCAGCTGTTCTCTCTCTGCTTCCTGGCCTGCCACGTGGTCCTCCCCCTTTTCATGTGCTCCAACACTGTCATCGTCCAGCTTTATCAGATGGTTGAACTGATAGAGTCCACCTGATCCTGGACTGCAAACCTCCAAAACCATAAGCTGAAAGCAACCTCTCTTTCCTTTGAAAGTAGCATGTCTTCAGTATTTAGTCATACTAACAAAAAGCTAATAGAGATATCAACCAAAAGTACAAATAAAATAAAAAAAAACATAAAATGAACTTCATGAAAATTAAGAACTTTTGTACCGCAGGTGGTACCATCAGCAGAATAAAGACAGCCCACAACATGGGAGAAGGTCTTCGCAAATCACCTCTGATAAGAGACTTCATAAAGAACTCTTAAAGCTCAATAATAAACAGACAGATGACCCAATTGAAAACAGGCAAATTTTGCACAGAGCTGACAAACGCCACTCTCACCCAGTGACCCAAGTTAACATCACCAGCAATGACACAATGGTGTTGTGTGTCCCTGGATATGAGGCATGGGAAAGGACACAATATCACTTCTGTGGCATGCCTGCCCCAAATACCTAGCACGAGTGTAATCATGAGGAAACAGCAAACAAACCTCAACTGAAGGGCTGCACAACCTGTACTGTTCAAAACTATTAAGTCGAGAAAGACTGAAGGTGAACCCATCCAGACTTCAGCAGACTACACAGACACCACAACTAACTGCAGCATGAAATTCTGGACTGGATCACGGACCAGAGGAAACAAAATCTTTTGTTTTGCTATAAAGGGCACTGGTTAGACAATAAGTGACATTTGGATAAGGTTTCTGGGTTATAGTATCATATCAACTTTAATTTGCTGAATAGATTACAATAATTGCATAAGTAAAGGTCCCTGTTTTTAAGCAATATGCTGAAGTATTTAGAGGTGACGGAGCATTATACCTATAGCTGACTCTTAAACAGTTCAGAAAAATAACCACATGCATATGGAGAGAACGTAACATAAATGCAGCAGAGTTAATGCTGGGGAATTCTGGGTGAAACACATCGATATTTTAGTGCTGTTTTTGAAGCTTCCCTGTAGCTCAGGATATTTTGCAAAATAAAAAGTTTAACATTTTAACTAGGCAAAGGATTTCAATAGATATTGCTCTCAAGAAAATACATAAATGGGCAACAAGCATATGAAAAGAAGCTCAGTATCATTAGCAACTAGGGAAATCTAAGTCCAGGCCACAGTGAGATTCTGTCTCTCAGCTAGTAGATAATAGTAATGTCAGCAAGGACGTGGGGAAATTGGAATCCTTATGCACTGCCAACAGAAACCTAAGATGAGAAAACAGTATGGAAGTTCATCAAAAGGTTAGACGGTTATCATAAGACCCAATAATTTGTCTTCAGGAGAAATGAAAACATGTGACCTCACAAAAACTTGCACATCAATGTTTATAGAAACAAAATTCATAATAGCTAAAAAGCAGAAAAAAACCCAATGCTGATCAACTGATGAACACATAAGTAAAATGTGGTTTATCCATACTCAGCCATAAAAAGGAATGAAGTACTGATATATGCTACAACACAGATGAACCTTGACAATACCACATTATGTAGAAGTCAGATACTACAGACCACGTGCTATACGATTCCATTTACATGAAATGCTCAGAATAGGCAAATTCAGAAAGACAGAAAGTAGATTCTAGTCACTAGGGCTAGATTTCACTGGGGGGTAAAGACAGAGGGAAACGGTGAGTGACCGCTAATGGATACTGGTTCTACGTGGTGGGGGTTGATGAAAATATTCCAAGATCAGAGTGGTGATGGCTGCAAGACCCGGTGGATATACCACAAATCACTGACGTGTACACCGTAACTCCTTGAATTGCAGGGCAAGTGAACTATATAGTTCAAGAAAGCCATGGAAATCATTTTCCATAGGTTAGCATTTCCAGACAGTAAATACATACTTTTCACAACAAAGGCCCTTTAAAAGTGATTCACCACAATCAGACTGCAAATACCTGAACCAGCTGACTCACCTGCCACACTGCTCTTCAGTGGAGAAGTAGATTTGGAAGTCATCAGAATTGTCATAGACGTAAAGAAAACAACAGCGTTCATCAAACTTGGATAGGCTGCAAAGTCACAAAACAGAAGAATGCTTACATGTAAGTGATGCTGCCAATTTTAAACTCCTGAGAAAACCTCCTGATATATTCTCTTCAATTTTACAAACTTCAGAAAGATTCACTATAATGTTTTAAGAAATACCCATAAACCTTGCCTTTCATTTATCAATGAAATTTCAGTGCCAGGGACATTTATCTTGCTTCTGTTTGAGTTTGTATTTTTCAACTGACTTCAATATGCATCCAGAACTTACCATACATATCCAATGCTATGGAAAACACACGGGCGACAGAAGAGAGAATAAAATATGCTCTCTGCCTTCAAGGAGTTTTTAGGATCTCACCAAAAAGGCAAATAGATATTTGTAAAATAATTTGTTATGGCAGCAGAGGAACTTCCAGACTTGGAAAATACCAGGGCACTGTATTTGTGCCCATACAAGGGAAACAGGAATGAGTACTGTATTTTTGGCTCAAAATGCTATCTGGTGCACCTCCACCCAATATCTGGACCTGACTCTGGAACTCGTCCAATGAGCAATATTTAGCTTGCTTGGCCCTATCCAGCGACAGAAAATCACCACACTCCATCTGCTGACAGGTTGCACTATGACAAAGTTTTTGACCGATGCTGGGCTAAAGCCTCAGCAATGGCCCTCATCCCACTGGGTGAAGAATTCTCTGGAGAATCAGGCACAACCAGCCCTGTGAATAGATGAAGGCCCCTTTCCTGGCCCCTCCTAAGCCACCTCTTGCTGAGACAAAAACCTTCTGAGATCATTCTTCACGTTATGGATTACATGACCAATGCGGAGTTGACACAGCAATAGTGCAGCATGAGTCAAAAGAATCCCAGCTAGGTTAGACACAGGAAGTCTCAAGAATCAATCTGTAAAGGAACTGTCAGTTAGCTGGAGAGCCCCAGGAATGTTTAAAGATGCTCTTCTGGTCACTTAAGTCCCAGGGTCTGAGTCAAACGGGCCCTTTATAAATCTTCGTGAATGGTTCAAATCCTTTGAACTAGCTTGCATTTTCTGGTCAATACTATCTAAATGAACTACTCGGCACTTAAATTGTTTCCCTCCCTTTAAAGTGATATAAACATTATTCTAACTTAAACACTGTGTCCAGGACAGGTTCACACTCTGGGAGGTGAATGGGGATTTATTCATTCAGTAGCCTTGATTTGATGAAAACAGGGAAGAATCTGAGACCCAGAGAAGCTAAGTGAATTTTCCAGTGTCACAGAGCAAAGAAGGATTAGAACTCACATTCTGCCCCACAGCCTTGCACCCATCCTTGGATGTGCCGGCAGGGTGATGAGAGTGGCTGAGGCGAGTGAGTCCAGCTATGGGAAGCAACATGGCCTGGGCCAAAATGCACACCAGCCCTGATCCAAAGACAGCAAATGCCACCCCTCCCCTGGGAGTACACACCTCCCTCCCTACTTCCCTAATAACAGCCTGGCTCCATCACTCTGCCCAGAAGACTCCACCCACGTGTCATTACCAAATAACTCCTGCTTTCGGCAATCAGGGTCCCTGAGCACTTGAACATCTTTGGCTCACAGAAGAGAATGCTTTCTCTTTCTGCAGATGCAGCCTAGTTTGTTTAAAGTTTAAGACCAGAGAGTTGTTTGTTTGTTTGTTTTTGCCTGCTGGATACAAGAAAAGCTACTGCTGTTATATAACAAGCTGAGACGCTCTTACTAGCTGCGCATGATGAACCAGCTCAGGTAGGACAACGAAGGAGAAAACAACCCAGTTTGGATTCCATGCAAAGTAAGCGCAGTGCATATTCTGAGCAGACGGGAACATTCACACGCATACAACATTGTCATCATTATTTATATCAAAACAATCATTACGGTTTCTTTTATGTTCTTACCTTATTCCCTTAATGGAAGAGGCTGTAAAATGCCATTCATGGATTTGTTTCTGCAAGTATCAAAGACAGAGGTAAGGAGCTTGATTTTTCCCAAGCAGAGGAACACTTTCAATTTCATTCCATGGTCAACTGTTTCTGCTATTTTTCTTTCAGCACTGATTTGGAGATCAGAGAGATCTACTTGGCGTAACTTGCAACACCAGAAATATTTTCTAATGTATTGTAAACATTCGGCTGTGTTTTTTTAAAGACTTATTTGAAAGGCAGAGTTACAGAGAGGCAGAAGCGGGGGGGGGGGGGTCTTCCATCTGCTGGTTCACTCCCCAAATGGCCATAATGGCTGTAGCTGGGCCAATTCAAAGCCAGGAGCCAGGAGCTTCTTCTGGGTCTCCCACGTGGGTACAGGGGCCCAAGCACTTGGGCCATCTTTCACTGCTTTCGTAGGCCATAGCAGAGAGCTGGATCAGAAGAGGAGCAGCCAGGACTTGAACCTGTGCCCATATGGGATGCCAACACTCCA